TGGGGGAACCCTTCTTAGGTGACCCGAAACACACAAATAGCTGGTCCGAATTCTTCCAACCTGAGGACCTCCGCAATAGGCCTCCAAGGCCCAGACAGGGCATAGTAGGGTATAGCCTTTCCCAGTCAGTCGACAGGTGGTGGAGGATAAAAGGCCAGCAGGATAACTGACCATGCCACATTAGATGGCACCTTGGGCACGTAGCCTGGCCTAGGGTGAAGAATGGCCTTTACCCTCCAAGGAGTGAACTCGATGCAAGAGGGAGCAACAGATTTCAAGGGACGTAATGGCTAGCAGGAAGACCACTTTGGCCCCATTTACACTGCATGTTTCAAGTGTCCCAAATCCAAAATCCCAAAAGTTTTTTCCAGATCGGATTCAGGCCTCACTCATTTGTGGTGATAAATCAGATATGAATCGGATACGTGCATTTGCGTGTGCCATGTAAGCAGACAAATCGGATATTCCCCAGTAAATGCGAGTCGGACGTCATTAAAAAAGTGCGCGATTATAGGCCCGATGGAAGAAAAAGGATGCACACAGTGTAGGCAATGCGGAGGTTTCATGTCTTTTGAGTGTTTGGGGCGAAGAGTGCAGGTAAAAATGCAGGGTTGTTACAGAAATATATCCGTATTTGAAGACATTTCACGAGATATGGCGAGGTTGGGTTTTAAGTGCTCGTGTCTACAGTGCCAACAAGGGCTCTCCTCTTTTTCTCCGCCGTACGAGACCAATGTTTTGACGACTTTTCAAAAATATTGTGGAAAGAATTAAAGCTGCAAGCAGCGATGGGCGGGCCCTCGCACCTGTAGCGCGTCGGGTTGTGAGGCGGCCGCGTTGCATATTCTGGAGCTCAGCCGGTGCGGCTGTGAATTTACTACGCTTCATTAAAGGTCACTTCCTGTTGCCAGCAGGTGGCGCTATGACTGTTGGTGAATGTCGACATGTAGATTTGTTCAGGGCGGGACTCTTGTCAAATGTGTAAAATTTTGTGCAGATCTGGGCATTTACAGCCAAGTTACTACAACTTCCTGTTTCATGGCGAATCTTCGACGCCACGGACACGCCCATCGACGAAAACGCGCAGATAGCACAACTTTACATCGTCAATGCCTTTAAAAGGCACAGCAGAAATTTGAAGTTGATCCGACTAAATCCCTAGGAGGAGTTCGTTAAAGTACGGAGTGTGTAAATCGTCCAAAAATTGCCGCCAAATGGCGGACTTCCTGTTGAGTTTAGGGTATGGGTTCTTGAGGCTTTTTTGTGCGTCTTGATATGATACACGTCCCCACCCAATTTTGTGCATGTAGGTTGAACGTGGACGAGGGGCTAGTTTTTTCCAATTTTCTAGGTGGCGCTAGAGTGACATTTTGCCACGCCCATCCGCGAAACCCACAAAATACGACATTTTTCACCAGTCCTGACATGCGTGCCAAATTTGGTGAGTTTTTGAGCATGTTGCGGCCCCGAAAATGGCGCTTACTTTGCAGAAAAAAATAAAAATAAAATAAAAATAACCCTAACAGTTTCAATAGGGTCCTCGCACTGTTAGTGCTCGGGCCCTAAAAACACTGGATAATTTTATTCGCATCTACATCCATTGAATTTCGTGCTGTTTTACTTAATTTTCCGGGTCAGAACGTCCACATTTGGTAGTTTCACCAGTTTATAGTGCATAGTGTAAATGCAAAAATAGGATACGGGTCACTTTTAAAAGATGATGTAAGCGGGTTGTCAAAAAAAATCGGATGTAGTCAGGAAATCGGATTTGAGCATCAAGTCCTGCAGTGTAAAGACAGCCAATGAAAGCGAGAAACTTGTCCGACACCTCGTCAATTGAGTCCAAAGTGTGCCAGGGATAACCCCTCAAGAACAACTGCCAGGTCCCACACAGGATTCCGTGTTTGGACGACAGGCCTCATCCTCTGACCACCACAAAGGAAGTCAACAATTAGTATTTTTCTTTCTCTTTTTTTTATTAAATAAGGGAGAAAGCTTTCATAGTAGGACAAACAACACCAAATAAGATTGAACGCTTGCTGAAGAGCACTAACACTGTTGTGTGCCAGCGTCTCTTTGAAACTTCCATGTATGCCGTCACATGTGATGCAACACCAATCGAGAATGGACTAGTTCCACACAAGCTTCTGACACTATCACGCTGGAGGCGTTCCCCAAAGAGTCGTTTCCGACGCAGCGCGAGTTCCCTCGAAAGGGAACTCTACATACATTTTGGTCTTTTCCACACACTATCAATTGACTTTAGAAATTGTGAACATGGCGCACACATTGCATGCTGTCCTTTTATCCCACACAGTTGTCTAATGTCTAACTACAGTAGGCCTTGACATTAACACTTGCTAAATGTGGGTGGATTTCAGTGAAACACAGTCACCCCTACTAGTCACGTTGGTGGGTTGAATTCTATATATAATATACAGTATGCATTTGTTAATTGTATTTTAAAAAGGCATTTGAAATAAGAAACTAAGTGCAATGTAGGGTTGTTAAAATACTCAAATATCTTGAATATCTGCGCTTTCTCGCTCTGTCATCTCCCTGACGGCAAGTTGACACACAAACTCGCATCCCTTCACTCACTCGCTTCATTTGCATGTTGCAACCTCATGCTAAATGCTTTATTTTTTTTCGTACATCAATATGCACTTCATGAAAATGCATCTCAGAGCAACAACTAAACCATGAGGTCAAGGGAACTGCTTGCAGGGCTCAGTGTCAAGACACAGATCAAGGGAAGACTACAAACACAGTGGCCGGACGAAAAGATTGTTTTTTTTTTTGTTTTTTTTTCAGGGCTTAAGGGACTGTTCATGGTAGAAAGAAAGCTGAATGCAACAAAATACAAATATATCCATAACTAAAATCTGGTTCACATCACTCGGGACCTCAGACTTGGCCAAAGGTTTACCTTCCAACAGGACAATGAGGGCAACACATAGTCAAGACAATGTAATAGTGGATTAGGGATGATTCTGTGAATGTTCTTGTGTGACATAAATTTAATCAAACATCTCCAGATAAACCTAAAAATTGCTGTCCACCGACAGTCCCCATCCAACCTGACAGAGCTTTAAGAGGATCTCCGGGAAATAATGGCAGAGATCCAGGTGTGCAAGGCATGTCACATTATAACCAAAAAGACTTTATTCTAAAAGGCTGTAATCGCTGTTAAAAAAGTCCTTCAACTAAGTACAGAGTTAAGGGTCTGAATACTTATGCAATGTGATATATGAATCAGCTTAGAGAGTGCAAGTGGAACCCATCCTATTTAAACCTCTCATATCTAGTGTCTGGTGTCTGGTGTTTCCTTTGCTATCGAGGTGTGTGGTGTCATCAAGCCACGATCTAAAGCCTGCTCCTGCCGATCGACTGTCCAACACAGTTTATCTCTAACCCTAATCAAACAATAGGCCTATGTCACAAAAAAATTGAAGACCGGAAGTACGTCTTTTGGTAGGGATACGGCTCTTCCGGTTAGTTCTTTACAATGGTGGAGTCCGATAGATATCGCTGGACCAAATCTCTCCGCAACCTGCCTGAAGTCACATATGATGATGTGGTTCGGATAATAAATTAAAACTCTCAAGTTGGAAAGCGTGAAAGCTGAGGTATGGCTGTCTACATCCTGATGCAGAGCAACCCGGCACACTACAACAACAGCCGCTGGTAGCTCTAGCCATTCGCCAATAAGATCGCGGATAAAACATGTTTTTCTTTAAACAAGGTTGATTTCAAAAAAACGTATAGCTTCAACAGGAGCAAACACATTCGTTTCACAACCTCATAGCTCGTGCCCAGTCTACCTCAGGTGGTTTAGACATTAGGGATGATAATCTAAATCCTTATCAAGAAATACTGTTGACCGGAAGTTCTGTATCCCTACTCCGCGTTGTGTCACTTTTGGAAAAACTTTTACGGATAATTTACTCACCCCCATGCCATCCAAGATGTCCATGTCTTTCTTCAGTCGAAAAGAAATTAAGATTTTTGACGAAAACATTCCAGGATTTTCTCCATATAATGGACTTCAATGGGAACCAAATGGTTCAAGGTCTAAATGAGAGTTTCAGTGCAGCTTCAAAGGGCTTTAAACGTCACCAAGTGATGAATAGGGGTCTTATCAAGCGAAACGGTCGCTCATTTAAAAAATAAATAAAAAAAGTTTAAGTTTTAAGCACTCTCCTTGCTCTGTTCTGTGATGAGCGTTCGTGACTCTCCTGTTCAAACTCTTTCATAAAAATGAACAAAACTTTTTTCGAGTCATGACTCAAAGGGTCCTAGATAAAACCCTTTTTCATTGTATGGTGTAAAAGCCCTTTGAAGCTGCACTGAAACTCTCATTTGGACCTTGAACCGTTTGGTTCCCAATGAAGTCCATTATATGGAGAAAATCCTGCAATGTTTTCATCCAAAACCTTAATTTCTTTTCGACTGAAGAAAGAAAGACGTGGACATCTTGGATGACATGGGGGTGAGTAAATTATCAGCAAAAGTTTTTTTTTTTTTTTTTTTTTTAAAGTGAACTACTCCTTTAAGGTCTTCAGGGTAACTTGGAAATTAAGGGCAGGTGTATTTAATTAGGGTTGTAGTTGAACTGTGCAGAAGCAGGGGTCGGCACCCCTGATCTAAAGAGTATTGTGAGGCCTTCAAAAAAAAAAAAAAAAAAATGGTTGTGGATGCCTATGATTCGGGCAAGGAATTTAAAAATATCTTCTAATTATTTGAAATAGGAAAAATGATCAGACCTATAGTAATGTGCTCTGGACAGACAAATCAAAGATATAGTTGTTTGGCCATAGTAACAGCAGACAGCTTTTCATGAGAAGAACCTCATACTAGCAGTGTAGCATGGCAACCAACAATTTCCATGGGATGTACTTATTTTTTACACTACACACACACAAATATATATGCTTTTTATTATTTTTATCACATGCAAATGAGTAATTAGTGGAGAGAAAGTCTCACAGGACACTCACAGCTCTCGATTTCCAGTGTGCAGTTCTGCTCATCTAGTGGGTATCTGCGTAAGTCCATCATGCAGGCGGCGGTGGTAGTAATCCTGTGCACACAGAGAGTATAACTATTAGTCACAAGCAACCGTTTCTCTAAAATCCTGTTCTACAGACCCATGCCCATGCTGGACTCAATTACGTCCAGCATATTCTTTCATATTTTCACCCATTGCATATTTTATTCCTGTGATGTCAAATTTTACTATGATGTTTTAAAAATCTTTGGCTAACTCCAGCTGAAAGACATGGCACTTGAAGTATTCCGAAGGGCGCAAGGCATTTCTGTTTGCAACTTTTACTGCCTGAATGGCAGTAAAATTAATCATTCGAAATTAAAAATGTAATGCCTGAAGCATTCTGCACAAGGTTACCTTGATAATAACAGCAAAACTCGTGTTTTTTAGCTGTTAAGATTGTTGTGGACAAATTTATGTAAATTCAATTAAGTCATTCAAATTGGTGGTATTCAAGTTTAACCCCTTAAGTGTCACCCCCCCCCCCCTTTTTGGATTTAGATGAAAATGCACATTTCGAACTTAAATGGTTGTAATTCAAGAATGCGCTGGAATATAGACGTAAAAATGGTCTCGTTTTAAAGAAGACATTTGGCAGATTTTTGTAGAAGTGAAATAAATTAAGAATGTGAAACAGAAGAAAAGTTATAGAAGTTTGAGTTTATGAAAATGTACAATATAAAAAATTTAATTATTCATATTTTATATAAAATATATATTTTCAAAACCTGGCAACTCTAAAACTGCTAAAAAATCAAAGCCAAAAATCTGAATAAGTTGTGTTTCAAATTTTAGGTTGATATCTCAAAAAATGAGCTTTCAGTGAGATTTTGTTTGGGCGCAGTACCAAACTTTTTCACTAGGGCACAACCAGACTCCATTACTGCCCATATAAGGGCGCCTCCATTTCCATATGAAATAATAATTATTATAATTATAAAATAATTGAATGGAGACTTTCTTTTGAACTCTTGGCATGAAAACAAACAGGTTTCTACCCTTCTTTCATGATTTTTCATGTTCATCACAATTTCAAAATAAAGGTTAGAGTATGAGTATGAAAGTATGAAATTGATAAATTACGGCTCCTCTGTATTATATTTTGAAAATCAATCACCAAATATGAAAACTAGAGATTCTAAGCTTTCAAATGATATATAGTTTGTCAAGATTAGTTTAGGTTTAGTATAGGATAATACTGTTTTAAAAATGTAATGGATTTGGGCCCACCGGTGGGCCGTGACACTTAAGGGGTTAAATTAGGTGCATGAGAACAACTAAAGGTTTGAAAATTGCAAAGTAGAATAAATAAACCCAAGTTTCAGAGTAAATCATCCATCAAAAACTCTTCGCTAACGGCTTTGCATTCAATCCAATTACTGGTGGATAAAATAAACCCAATGTCACATACTGTATTGCTGGGTAAATAAACAAAACAAAACCTCAGAAAATATCATGTTTACTCAGGAATATGTAACATCGGTGTTGAGTTCAAGACGTTGTTTCAGTGCCATTTTAGAGTACTAAAGTGTGCTTTATTTCTACTCTAAGTTAAAGGGATAGTTCACTTTGAAATTAATGTTTGGTATGTTTTAGCTTACCTCAAGGGCATCCAAGATGTAGGTGTCTTTGTTTCAGCAGCTGTTTCAATTTTGATATTTTTAGGTCAAACGAACAGTATTTATATGGTTTTTACCTCATGTTACCACAGCCACAAAATGCCCGCGCCCTCAGATCACTTAATACTGTTAGTTTTTCTCACATAAACCGCTCGTTTCGTGTCTTAGGCCATCAATGTGTACTTACATTTCCGAGTAGTGACCATAGACCTGCATTATATGACTGACAGACAAGAACGCTTTGACCTGAAAATACTACGGAAACAAAGACACCTACATCTTGGATGCCCTTGAGGTACACATTATTTCAAAGTGAACTATCCCTTTAACCCTTATGCTGCATTAGGGACATTTTTGGTCTTTTGCAGTTTAATTTCTTTGACCATTTTGGCTGTTTTAATGCAAATGGTATGACATTTGGCAAAATTGTGACTTTTTGGATACATGTAAAAAATGTGATCCCATTTTGCAAAATATGTATAACACACACTGTGTAGATCAAATAGTAACACTCAGCACCATAAAGACCAAAAATGGCCCATTGAAACCCATTAAAACGTTGTTTAAATCTGAGGCTGTCAGTTATACATGAAACATGATTTTTGCACAAACATCCTTTCATTTTGAAGCAAAAGCATTATATTTGAATTATATAGTGTATTCCACCAGATGACGCCCAGATGATGGGTGGAAATGCACCTTATTTTAGGCAATAGGCAATGTTTAATAGGTGGCCATTTTTGGTCTCTAACACGCCAAGTGGGATTTTTTGCAAAGTGGGACTGTGATAATCCAAATCTAAAGTTTTCTCTTTGCATTTAGTTTATTGAAAATAACTGAATTTTTGTGTTTTTTCCTCTTATACAAATCGATGGTTTCGCAAACAAAACTGGTAATTAAAGGGTTAAAATCCTGAAATTGAATACATTTTTGGTAGTTATGATGAGGACTGATGCTGGTTAAAAGATTTAACTTGGTAAAAGTGGAAAATAATAATAATATATAATATTTTAGGCAATGTTTAATATGTGGCCATTTTTGGTCCTTAATGCACTCAACGGTGTTACAAATCTTGGTTAATACAACCATGTCACCACACTTCATTTTGATTTCATGACTGCTATGTCGAAAAACTTCTTACTTTTAGTGAATTAAATAGTCCCTGTCTTCCTCTTCAAAATAGAAACGAAATCTGAAATGAGCAGTAAAAAGCATTCGAACTGAGTAAATGTGTTTTCAGCACTGCAAACATTTACTGCAGTGGTGGGTGCAAGAGAAATCCTCTTGCAGGGAAGGATAGATGAGCGAAAATCCGTGTCCTAGTTTCCAGTCACACCAGGATCACCTTGCCTCCATGTCATAGCAAAGTGGGAATACCAAAGAAAAGAAGGGGTATTAGTATCGGCTTTGATGTGTACAGTATATTACACTTCATAGTCCAGGAGCATCTGACAAAGACTTGCTTTCAGCTTCTAGTAGGAGGCTTGTCTATCTCTCCCATTAGGTTTCATCAAAGATGCTGACAAATCTGAAACTTCTCAAATAATATCAAAGCAGTAAAAGAGCCAATCTAACCAGTGTCACTTTGGCCACTGAATACTGAATCAAAATAATTCTCCTAACATCATTTAGTAATTCAAACTGACCATAGAAACGCAGAGATGCCATTCTTCTGAGTTTGAGGAAATGTATTTTCTTTCTAATAAAGTATGTTCTGACTCTGGATGGTGAGATATCCATTTTGGAAAGGAAACAGCAATGCGAGGCAGCTGGCCATGTCTAGGGCTGTACTCTTTCACCTTTCAAAGTTACAACCTGCCAAAATCAGTCAAGCAGAATAAGGGCGCTGGGTGTGTTAGCTGACTGGCAAGCCTCGGCGAGAACAACGAGGGAAAAGAATGATATGAATTCCTCAGGGAGAGCTTGTTCAGTTTGCTAAATTTACTATCAGGACTGGCAGCTGTTGTTAAGGTAGAAACTGGTGTTCGAGAGAGTGGTTCAAGGTAAGAACTACACTCCAACAGAAGTTTAAGTACCATCACGTTCTCTGCAATTAGTCTAGACGTGCCAAATCTCTCTGAAATCACAATATTTACTCTCATGTATATTATTAATTATCTACTTATTCAAGAAAGAGTTTTCCATAGAAGGGAGGGAGGAGAAAGTGCATTCTGGAGAAGCACCTGCAGTAAAGAATGGCATGTAGTAAATAATATATTTGTTTTAATATATAATATATTTTCACATTCCTTTTTGTTCCTGTGTGCATTTATTTATTTTTTTCCTGTAAAACATTTGAATTAGGTTACATTTTGTTGTAAAAATAAAACCTAAAAATGACATAAAGAGAATGTTTCTGGAATGTTCTTATTTGGTTCCCAAGAAAATAACCAAATGGGAACATTATTTGTTTGATGGGCTATTACAATTGATTTCTGGACATTGTTGTGTTCTTTTTTTATGTCAATTTGTTATTGTACATGTTGTTACAGTGTAATTACACATTTAAGTACTTGAGTAATAATAATTAACTATGCACTTACTATAGGGTTAAGTTTAGGATTAGGGTGTGGTTAAGGATAAATATGTTATTAATGTAGTAACTACAGTACATGTAACATGTAAAAAAGTCTTGAATTGTATTAGCAAAACAAATCATGTTTTAAACGAATTATTGTGCTAATTTCTATCCACATCCCAAATTGTGTGACTCGGATCTGTTTTATTTATTTATTTATTTATTTATTTATTTATTTATTTATGTATTTATTTATTTATTTATTTATTTATTTATTTATTTATTTATTCAAATGTGTGAACAGCACAGACCACATGGAATCATTTTTTTTTTTTTTTTTTTTTTTTTAGATTCTGATTTGGGCCATTTCCATATGTGAAATTAAATCAGATACAGTCATATCGGATTTCAAGCAACTTTTCATTTTCACAATGACCAACACAATCTACCGAGAGCAGCGCAAATTAGTGTCTGGTGTAAGACATGCTTTTTTTGGCAGAAATAATTTGACTAGAGCAAACTTTAGTAAATCACCTTGCATGATTCATTTAAATACTCTCCTCCCATACATTTTGCGTCTGAAAGAAACTCTCACAAATCAATTTGCAATAACGATAAAATAGCCAAAAAACAAAAAAAAAAAATCGTCCACACCTTTTCAGCGATAATTTCACTGTGTGTCTTTAGTAAATCCTGATAATATTTTTTTTAACGCCAAAAAAGGGTTTGCGCTGGAGCAAGCTGTTAGTAAATCTGGTTCTTAAAGGTACAGAGTGTTATTTCTCAAAATTGTTGACATTTGAAATCAACCCAAACAAACACACCCATCTTTTCATTGCTCCGCCTCCAAAGCTCACCCTCCAATCCTAACCGTTGGTCTCGAACCCTGATCGCTG